AAAACTAAAACTACCATTAGAATCAGAATAAAAAGCTCTATATAAAGGGTATTTCTACCCATTTATATTAATTTTGCTGGATTTATTATATATATTAATAGTTGGTTATTATTCTGCAGCCGACGGCCAAAAAACCCAAAACCCGCTCAGACCTGCTACCGTAAAAACGGGTGGGGTGGGGTGGGTTTTGGAGGTTAAGTGGGTCTGAGAACTGAGACTAACCATAGCCGTGGTGATGCCGCGACCAGATGACAGTCACAGGCTAGCCCTGTAACGAAAATTACGTTCTTTATAGTACTTAATAAGGCGAATTTAATAGTAGTCTTTTTTCTTTCTATTTCTAATACGTATTGAGATTTTAATAATTAAACTTCTAACTCTTTTTTCCCTTTAAAATGTTGTAAAAAGTGGATTATTGTAATTATAGTATTAGTCTCCACTTTCATCTTCATTATCAAATTTGTATAATTTTTTGAATATTTGCAAGATTTCGACGCGTTTTGGAGAGAAAAAAGAAATAAGACCACCGTTGGATTCGCCTTATCAAGTACTATAAGGAGCGTGATTTTCACCTCCGCGCAACTCAATATGCATATACTATTAAGGATTGAAGTTCAGACTCCTTTGATAAAAGACTGTATGTGTGTGTATTTCGAGGCTAAAAGCGGGGACTGACACCGTGATTGCAAAGCACAAAGGGATTTAAATATGTGTAGAAAATGCTCTAAATCCTCCTTTTTACCAGCCTACAGATAACAGCCATGGCTTTCCTACGGCCTGTTGAAGTGAAGCGGGACTATCGATTACCACGCACTCACCGTTGAATCAACAATACGAGGGGGTGCTGACCTGGACATGCATTGCACTGCCATATTCCATCGTTTAACCTAGTCCTACGGAGCCTGAGGTGTCGGCGTTCTACAAGACCTGGTTAACCCAATTTGAGAACGCTGCCCTTGTCTTCCTAACTTACACCCAGATACGACCTAGACGAACATGACTGAGTGCCCGTACCGAACACAGCTACTTCAAATCAGGGTTCGTTTTGTTCTAACGATACTCTTGCTTCATTGCGTAGGCTGTTAGCAGCCTTTTCCCGTAAGTGGCGGTGGATAATATGGTCGACAAGGCTCTCTGAATGGTTATCGGAGTGTGAGGTTACCAGGCCAAGGAGATGTGCCCACACTGCTGCCAAAGCGAAAGGGAAACAGAGTCTGGCGCGGTCAGAAGAAAGATACGAGGAGGTTTAGACAAAAGCCCTGTTCGTTGCAGCCATTCGTTGCAGCCATATATGTCCAGTATCACGAAGTCAAAGACTGGCTCCTCATGTATTGTACACTTAACGGTAACTCCCATCTGTGACCTGACAATCGATAGTCGTTTAGCAGTACATTGTCCATGTCCTCGTACCATATTCGGAAAGCAGAGCGACGTCAGAGTTGCAAATCACCCAGACCATCACCAATAGGGCAGTTCCTATTCGCAGCAATATGGCGAAGCAAGTGTGCCTACTACCATACTTAGTAGCTGTCACCGATTACCACATACAGTACACAACAAGAGGAAAGACATCTTCACCATTATATACCTAGTAAGCAGGTACCCTTCAGATCTGTACTTTCCGTTTGGCAGCGGCCGAGCCTCCACGTGACAATCCGCCCACTTGTGGCATTCCTTTTTCGACAGCAAGTGCCCTTCCTGCACGACATCAAGGCAGAAAAGTCGAATATCAACGAGTGTCGATTGTGGGTGCCATGCCAGCCACCAAGTGCAGTTAACATAGCAAGGCTGTAATACCAGGGCGCCACCCATTTCATTCACTCAATGAGGGATATTCAAAGGGCAGGAATGGTGCGGCTTGACGCAAGCGTCGGCATGCCCGAGTAACACATATTGCACGACATAGGTAAAGAGATAGTGCCAGTCCAGTGCCCAAATGACTAGGTTGGCTTTGTTCTCCAGATATGGAACGGTTGGCTCTTGTCTTATTGAGATTTGTCTAGACTGATAACTGGCTAGTCCGTCGTAAGGTAACTCGAGTCTCTGCCTCATCATCATTCACGGGGCGGGTGCATGATCATCTTTGGAGGTTTTGATGGCCAAAAAAAAACAACCTTTACCCTAAACCAGGTACACTCTTACGCTCCGGGGCTGTATCCCCCCTTTCAAAGCTTCTGCACCTTTGTAGCTCGGCAGTTGAGGCAATGTGCTACCTCTTATCTCTTTGCAGACAGAAGTACTTGGAAAGATCTTGTTCTCAGCAAATCTCGAGCTCAAAGTCTCCCAAACGACAGGTAGACAGCGAACCGACGAGCCTTGATTCACACAAGAAAGAATTACAAGCCTGAATCTATCAAGGAAGGTAAGGTGACGCTGACGTGGTAGATGAAAGCTTGTACCGCTGTACTGTGATCACCAAAAGCTAATGACGCTCCACCTCGGGATACCAAGAAGTCGGTAGGCTTCACCGAAGATGGGTTACAAGCTTACAACTCGCGCCAAAGCCTGCCATAACCTATCATATCCCTATTCCCAAGCTCAAGGAAAAGCGAGCACCCCGGTTGTGCGCAAATGCTCTTACCACGGTTATAGCGCTGACGATGGCAAACCTAAGCGGTGAGTACGCCAGCTTTATCCCGGGCCACGCGTAGCAAGATCTCCTCATACTTCGTCCTCAAGGAACTTGTAGGTAAATTTGAAGTCGGCCTTCCTGCGATTCATCCTGGATGTGGGTGTCAACCATGGGGTCAGGGGCGCTTCATTATGGGGCTATGCCATACCATGTGCTCTCGTAGTCAAAGAAACGATAGGTTCCTTGTTCGAATTCCTCCGTGATCGATTTTGGTTCTTCGTGTCGCTGGAACCACGTCTGGTACTGTTTGTGAAACCTCCAACTTTGGTCTTTCAGTGCCTTGGCGGCGAGGTACTGCTGGTAAGTTCCCTGTTTGTAGTAAAAGACGTAAAAGAGGGTGTCCGGATCAATCCGCTGGTAGAGACGGGGGTCTTCGAATATGGCCAGGGGCTCCTGCGGGAACTGGTTGTGCGTGTGGTACCTAACATCGGGGTAGTAGGGTCGTGGTAGCTCAGTGTCGAGAGCACTCGGCTTGTTCGCTACCGCCGCCGCATGCATCCTCTGCGTGGCAAGCGCATCCACAGATGCTGGGCACTTCTTGGTAACCTCATATGACTCGATCAGGTCCTGCAAGGACGCTGGTAGATGGTAAATCGACTCCTCTTCTTCCACTTCTTCGATGGGCTTGATACCATTGCTTGCACCGTTCGTTTGGGGTACTATACACACGTTAGTACGCGAGCTCCGGCATGGATGTGGACTATTCCGACCTTTGGGCTGGGTCTTCACGGCTTCTGGTTCCGGTGTTGCTTTGGAAGTCGTTGCTGTGGCAGCTGGGACTGGTGCCGATACCTTGTCACGAGAAGACACGTTCTTGGCCGGTTCAGTCTTGCTCGGTACCGGAGTATTTGTAATCGACCCGCCAACAGCCGGGGGTACCGCATTTACTATCCTCTCCTGGGCAACAGGCTGCACCGTTGCAACGCTAGGGGAGTTTGCTGCGCTGGTCTTGACGTGTTGTGATGCCGGTAGCGAAGAGTTGGTTGTTGGCGGCGGGGGCAGGGGCGCGATTCCTACACCACTCTTATCGCTGGCGGCTGCCGCGGCTGCTGCACTGGCATATTTTAGGCCCTCGGCCGGCCTCGTGGGCAGTGATGCCGGTTTCATGGACACATTGCTCGCCGGTGTATTGCTAATGCTTGGCATTGTATTGTTGTGGACCGTCGCCAACGTCGGTAGTGGCGACTTCAACTGCGCAGAAGAGCGTCGTATCGATGATGCTGCAACTGTATCGGCCGGGGTACGTTGTTTCGCCGCCGGTACGCTCGCCGGCTTGGGCTCGGGCTCGGGCTCGTCCTGGATTGACTGGGCATCCTGTGAGGATCCCTTGTCGTTGTCGACATTCATTCCGTAGGCATCCTCTTCTTCTTCCAGGTTCAGGTCATCGTAAATACCCTCGTCGTCCATGAAATCCTCATTCATGCCATCGGTAACGTAGTATCTGATGCTTTCTTCCAGCTCGTTCACTTGCTCGGTCTCGACGCCGCCGTTCTCCAAAGATCGCCGAATTAGCTCCAGCTTCCCCTGATGCCATTTGTGTCGTTCAATGATGCGCTCGATTTCGCTTATCCGGTCGGCCTTGGCGCCATGTCCCTTGCCCCTCTTCATGGTGGCTTGTATTGACTCACTCTCGGCCTCGAGAGTTTCAATCTGCTGTTCGAGCTCGTCGACCATTTGGCTGAGGAACTCGCCTGCTTCCAACTTGGCTTGCTCTTTGGGGTCTAGCTTCGCCGCAGCCGACAGACCTTCCTTGGAATACGCTTTGGTCTTCATGGCCTTTTCTACGGCCTTAAACTTTTCCATTTGCTAGAAATACCGGTGAGCTTTGGGGTGTTCACGGCGCCACACGGAGGAAAGTCCATGCTCAGCAACCAGCAGGGATACGAACCGTCTCTATCAGGCGCCTATGCTCAAGTAAAGGAGCCTTGTCCTTGATGTCGTTGCTTGCGGCCCATGTCTTGATCTGGTCTCGAAGCCTTTGCAGCTTCTTGATTTCTCGTTTCAGGTTGTCCTCAAGCTTGTCCTTTTGCGCGGGGTTGTTGGACTGCTCAATCTTTTCGTAGATGGCCTCGAACTCCTGCACGCCTTCTGCCACCTTCTTAAAACACTTGTCAACTTCTTGCGCGAGCTTTCGGGCCGCCATCGTGTCAGACTGTTTCTCGCAAACTCAAATACAGGATGAGATGTCGGAGTGGGCGGTGGGTGCGGGGTGGGTGCCGGTGGTGCAATGTGTTGGTGTGATGATTTCGGGATGTTTAGGCCCCACGCGACCAGAAGCTACGGGGCTACTGTAACAGTAGCGCTAGGCGACGTTCTCAGGGCGTTGAGCCGTCGCCGGAAGGGGAGACGACGTGAGGTGAGCTGATTTTCGGAAGCTTCCTCGGTTAGCTGGCGGGACCAAGCGAGATCGACTTGAATGGGACTTGGACTTGTGTGCCACTGGATGGTGAATCAATGAATATTATGTAGAGGTATGTTGTTGGGCAATGCGCCGAGGCTACCAGCTGTCGCGAGGCCAACCGGACAGAGGGCGTCACGGGCAACGGGCAACGGCAACGGCAACAGGCAACGGGTGGACTGAATCACCTCTGATTAAGGAGTAACGGTAGTAGTAGTAGGAGGAGGAGGAGGAGCAGGAGGAGGAGGAGGAAGAGTAGTAGTAGTACGGATGTTGATGTCAATATGGTGGCGGTGGTGCTCGATGGCGATCCCCAGTTTGGTGATTGCCTGGCGTGGTCGGCGTCGTCGTCGTCGATAAATGATCCGAGACGGATTTGTGGTTTGGGAGAGAATCAGGACCAGAGGTTTGCACTGGTTTTGCAGATTCGGCGAAGAGAGATGATAGGTAGAGAGAGGTATGGCGATCCTGCCGAGGCTGGTACTGACCTTGAGTATTACTGCCCACTGTAGGTCTGCCTGCCCTGTCCGTAGGTGGTGCGGGTGTACCACGATACAGAACTGTTTGGGGGGTCCTCCCTTGGGCCTCTCTTCCTGTTCTGGCTGTAAAAATGGAAGGTAACACACTACTGCCAGAACTGTAATAGTGTACAACGTAGAGGTATGGAAGGTGCCCGGCGGGGGCAAGGGTACTCCTACCCCCTGGAGGTAGACACCCAGCGGGCAGGCAGGCACTGTATACATCAACCCTGGTTTAATTGTTAGCGCGGTTCTTGCTCCACGTCCTTTTCTATGGGGGTTAACAGTACCTAGCTAACAATCAAACAAGGACCTGGTATTGAGGCACTCTGCAGCAGCGCTGGTTCTTCAAGGCCATTTTTGTGGAGATGGGACGGGAGCGCTGTTCGCCGAGATGGAGGCATTGGAAGACCGAGTCTTCACCTCATGGGTCTTTGCATATTTATCGATCAAGAATTCATCAGCTAACTGTTCCATTCACATCGAAACAAAAGAACGGAAAATGAAAGGTCCGTATAGCCAAATTCCCGTCTCTCAAGTTGTTCATTGCGTGCATAGATGACTAACGTAGCACATGCAGCAATTCTCCAGCGCGTGCTCTCAGCCTCTGTCACGGTCGACAACCAATTGGTCTCCTCTATTGGCCAAGGCATTCTCGTTTTGGCGGCTGTTGCTCCCGGCGACACGGTAAAGGAGGCTGAGGCTTTGGCATCCAAAGTAATCAAGTTGAAACTGTGGGATGATGAATTAGGAGGCCGGGTACGACACTTGCTCACATAATACGCATGGACTGAGGGAACTATTTCTAACGGCCGGCAAACCACAGTGGAAGAAGAATGTCCAAGACATCGGCGGCGAGGTATTGTGTGGTGCGTGATATCTTGCCGGATTGGTTAAACTCTCACTGCAAGACTAACATGATGTAGTCTCTCAGTTCACCTTGCTTGCTTCCACCAAGAAGGGCAGCAAGCCCGACTTCCACGGAGCCCTAGGCCCTGATGAGGCCAAGACCTTGTATGACCTGTTTTACAAGAAGGTTCAGGAAGGCTATAAAGCAGAAAAGGTTAAAAACGGTGTTTTCCAGGCTATGATGCAGGTTGCCTTGGTTAATGATGGACCGGTGAGCAATCCAACACTGCACTAGTATGCCAAGGGCCTTATTAACTTGACAGTAGGTCACCCTCGAGGTATCGGCCACGCCGGCAGCACAGCAGCAGCAGCAGCAGCAGCAGCAGAAGAAGAAGAAGGAAGACCAAAAGCTTAGCCAGAAGCAGCAAACGCAGCCACAACAAGGGGCCGTGGAAGACGACTAAGCGACGGCAGACAAGGTGCATGGTTTGACTAATCAAGTCTAGGTAATAAAGTGGTTGAGGATTGCGAGATGGACCTAAGAAGGGGTCGATGTAATTGCCAAATGTAGAGCCGGGAAAGATGATCTGCTAGACGTAGAGTTTAGACTAGAGGTTGATAGTTGGGTTGTAAAAGTGTGCTCAGACCAGTGTACTTGCCGCATGTCGCTGTTCTTCTTCGATGCCACAGCCCACAAGAGATGTCACGGTAGAACCCTTCCCGCTCTCATCTCTAGGTACCTACTGGTACACTGCGGCATCTGCCTTTGCACTACAGTCGTGACCCCTGAAACTGCATCCTCCACATACTGCATATATGCTAGTTAGTGCATAGGATTTCCAGGTCTGAATTAGCTATTTTGGCCTAACCCCGCGTCCAGATACTGCATATATGCCATTTAGTGCATAGGATTTCCAGGTCTGAATTACATGCAGTTTCAGGGGTCACGACTGTACATAGTGTCGGGTATGGACCCCTACGGGCTGCATCTTGAAGATACATACTACTGGTGGAGCCTCGGCTGCTTTAGCCGCTGCCGCTGCAAGTAAAGTACCTATGTACTCCGTACTTGTATGCCTTGGCGAGTGGAATCAGGTACCTTTGGGTACAAAGCGGATATCAGACGAGAAGAGGGAAATGGGACGGGAGCTAAAGCACATCGCTACCCCACCATTCTCGAATGTTCACGAAACCAATTCACCCCGCCCTGCACCCAGCTTGTTGAACCCTGAGACGAAATCATCACCGATAGCGACTCCCATACTTATTTCAACCAGTCTACCAGACGCCCTTTCTCTGTGTAGTCTTGTTCGCAACGTGCAGTTGTGCTACATATTGTCCGCCCCAGTTCCTTCGTCATAGTCAGAATAGTAGCTGGTTTGGACAGGTAAGTTAGCTTCTATTTGCGCTCGCTCTGTGGACATCACGACTTCCAAACTGTTTGCCATCTTCCTCCCTCCCTGTTTACGATTTGTGCCATGGACAAATAATTTGCTTCCACCGTAGTTGTCTGAGCTATATATGCTAACTGAGCTGGTTTAGTTTACGTACAGCTTAGACTCGTACCAAGATCTCTTGAAATCCTGATTCCTAGATTCAAGCCAACCATGTCTTCTACCGACGACGTCAAGCAGGCTCGCAGCCGCGTCTTTTTCGACATCACCATCGGCGGGAAGGCAGCCGGCCGCATTGTTTTCGAGCTTTATAATGACATTGTCCCTAAGACGGCCGAGAACTTCCGCGCTTTGTGCACCGGCGAGAAGGGTGTTGGCAAGTTGGGCAAGCCGCTACACTACAAGGGTTCCACGTTCCACCGTGTCATCAAGCAGTTTATGATCCAGGGTGGTGACTTCACCGCTGGAAACGGCACTGGTGGCGAGTCCATCTACGGCGCAAAGTTCGAGGACGAAAATTTCCAGTTGAAGCACGACCGTCCATTCCTCCTATCCATGGCCAACGCTGGACCCGGTATGTTGCAACGTCGTTTACCTGACGGCCATCACTTTGCGGTTCCGGTCTTTTACTGACGCTGTCCTGCAGGTACCAACGGCTCTCAGTTCTTCGTCACCACCGTTCCTACCCCACATCTCGATGGCAAACACGTCGTCTTTGGCGAGGTGCTGAGCGGCAAGTCAGTCGTCAGACAAATTGAGAACCTGAAGACCCAGGGCGACAAGCCGACCAAGGACGCCGTCATTGCCGACTGCGGCGAGCTTAGTGGCGACGCTGCTGTGAGCGCTGACACAAAGACTGCCGACGCCTACGGCGACGAATACGAGGACTTCCCCGAGGACGAAGCCACTGACGGCCAGCCTCTCTCTGCCTCCAAGATCCTCAAGATTGCGACAGACTGCAAGGACTTTGGTAACAAGGCTTTCAAGGCCGGCGACCTCCCTGTGGCCCTCGACAAATACCAGAAGGGTCTGCGCTATCTGAACGAGGATCCCGAGCTTGACAATGAGCCGGCTGACACAAAGCAAAAGCTGGACGCCCTGCGCGTCTCGCTGAACAGCAATGCGGCTCTCATGAACATGAAGCTGAGCGCTTGGGACGAGTGCATTCGCAGCGCCGACAGCGCACTTGCTGTTGCCACTATCTCAGACAAGGACAGGGCCAAGGCTCTATACCGTAGGGGTTACGCCCAGGTGCGCATCAAGGACGAGGACAGCGCCCTGACGAGTCTGGAGGAGGCCAAGAAGCTAGCGCCTGAAGATGGCGCCATTGTTAACGAGCTGGCCGCTGTCAAGAAGGCTGCCGCGGCTAGAATGGCGAAGGAAAAGGCTGCCTACAAAAAGTTCTTCTCCTGATCAAGTTGAGGCAATGGCGACTTGAGATTATTTTGAACGTTTGTGTGTGGTTGAAGTGCTCCTCTGGTTAGAGGGTATCTACAAAAGGAGGAATCGGCATTGAGCGGGTTGGCATCAAGGTCCAATTACATACAACACCTAATGATATCCACATTGGCGTTTGGGGAGTTCAAGCTGTGTAAAGGCTGGAACATGGACTCTTAAAGGCAGTGTGTTTCGACCAGTCACCAGAGTCTTCACAGCCTCACGAGATAGAATGTGTTTTTAGGCCACTTCACCGCTTTTGTAGGCACAGCAGTTTTCCTCCGTGACGCATCCCCAGCAACAGCAGACAACCTCGACCCCTCCGATTCAGATCTGGAGGCATAGGTACGTATTCGGCGGTTGGTGCTGCCGGATAGTCCACCATGTCAATAGCCAGCATGCCCTCAGAGAATGGGCCATGATCATCATGATCGTTGCTAAAGACAGTAATCAAACAGCTAAACAAGAATTATTTGGGGAAGAATAGAGAAAAGAATGAGCGCTCAGTCTGATACCCTGTCTGAAGACTCGCATTCCATATCGTAGGCATAATCGTCAATGTACGTCCCTTTGTACGGGAGCCGTTGCCCCCATTCTCAGACCCGGGTTTCCAAAGCCTTCCAAAGCAAGCATGTGCCAACAACCATTGGTGCTTCTATATCAAGTCATTTCAAATTCCCTTCTCGTGCCAGTGTTGGTGAGCCGTGTGATGGCGATCCCCTTGGGATTTACCTGAAGACGCCCTGGCGTCTTTGCCTGGATGCTTTTCTTTACCGTCTTTCTCTCGTTCCGCGCCTCGGTCCCGCTCTCGGCCATTCTCTTTACCTGCAGCAGTGGCAGATGCCGATGCAACTGCCGACGTACTGCCTGCTTCAGGCACCATCGTCCCCGTGATGAACCCGTGACCAGGACTACCTCCGTTGCCAAACTCGGGTGAAGCCGTTCTTGTCTTGCGAATAAATCCTGTAAGGAATTTTCGTGGTGCCTGCATTCCATTGCGCAGCCCCTTCACACTTCCGCCCGGCATGGACGACAGCTGCTCGCTGCTCTTAGAACCTTGCCGTATAGCGCTCGAGGCGTTCCTTATGTCCCTGCTGCTAATGCTGCTGCTGCTGCCACCTCCCATAACAGGCCCATCCATCTCACTACCTGAGGAGCCGGGCGCTATGCTCCCACCGTCTATCCAGAAGATCCCAGTAGCGTTGCCGTGCGCAGACAAACCGAGGACATCGCCATAACTCAAGTTGTCCAGTGCATCAGAGAGACGAAGCCGCTCATCCGGTGGCCTGCTGGTAGTTTCACCAGCGCTTCGGCGAGTCTCCATGTGCGAGAAGCAATGCATTGCGCGTTGGTGGAGCGTAGTGCATAGACGATGGAAATGAAGTAGGTCGCCTTCGCAGTTGGAAGAGTCCCAGTCTGACTCGGGATGGACTTTAGCCCACAGTTTGGCTAAAGCCGCAAAGTTACGCGCATGATCGACCAGGTAAGGGAGCGAAGGGAAACCCTCGCGAGCGAGGGGTGATAAGCGGCCCAGAATCGTTAGGGGGGTCGAGTAGGGAGCAGGCACGCTGGTGCTGGTACTTTCGGCCGGAATGGCGCACACGGCGTCAGCAAAATCCTTGAATGGCTGGCGCTGTTTTTGGAGAAACTCAGTCATTGGCTCCATCCATGTCTCCTTCTTGCTGGAGATGTTGAGGTTGGCTAGAGCCTGGATGGTCTTGGCGATGAGAGTCAGGGTGCGTTGTGCACGCGGTTTGGGGTGGTCGCGCAAGAGGCCGAAAAGTTTTGGGTTAAGGATAGCTGGGCAGAGGAAGCGGAGGAAGAGAAATCCGGACACCGAAGTATAAACTGCAGTAGCAGTGCGGTGAAAGTGGCCATAGCGATCCTCTGCAACAGCCCGTATATATTTCAGTACGTGACGGATCTCCGACGGCAAACGATGCGCGGACGATGCGATACAGCGCCAGACAGCGCTGGTCAGCTCAATTAGCTTCGCCCAATGTTGTTGAATATCATCGCCGTTCTGCATCCTACTCGGGTCAACTTCGCAATCAAGGTCGAGCTCGTTGATGTCACGTATCTTTTCTGCCAGAGTCTCCTCCAGATATTCTTTGCCTAAGCGTCGCATGTAAATTTCAAAGGCCTGTGTCAACAATGAGTTTCCCCTGAACAGCAAGCTCGCCTCGCCCGGGAGCGTCCTGCTCATGTCCTGAACCGTCTGCCACATTTTGTCCGTGGAAGCGATCGAGTCATTTGACATCAGCCGCTGGTTGAACCGCGATTGCTTGCTGGCAGTTTGGCTCCCTATCGCGTCAATTTCTTCCTCTACCAAGGTCACCAGCCACTCTGTTGCCTTTCCAGAAACCTGGAATATATTGACGAATATTTCTGCGAGCTTCCGTAGGTTTCCAGGCATCACGTCAGCTATTTGTGTCGTCAGCCCTGACCCAAAGCGGTGTAGGAGCTCCGAAAGAGGCTGATATTCTCTGGATTGCAACACGACGACCTCTTCATGGTGCACCTTGAGAAGCATTGTTCCAATCGACTGCTGTCGTGCGTCATACACCTGGAGCCACTGCTCATGATCTTTTCCACGCTCCAGAAGATGCAAAGGGATGTCGACAGCACCGCACAACGCCTCGCTCAGCTGGCCTGTTTTGGGCAAGCCAAGAGTGGCCTGAAGCTGGTGACTGAAGCTTTCGGTATTGCCCACGATCCGTTTTAGAACCACCGATAGGTAAGGTAAGGAGGGAGGAAGATCCGTAAATTCGCAATCCTCTCGCCAAAAGGGGTTCTTGGTGTTGAATTTGATTGATGTCCGGCCTCGAACCTCGCCATCCAGTATGACCTCGGCGAAGTAATTACCGACGGTAGTGTCTGGGTCTGCAAAACTTTTGTTTTGGCGCTCCGTCAGGTTTCCCTCTTGAGCAGATGCTCGGCTCCGTAGCCTTGCCTCGGTGACTCTAACCTTGACTGTTTTTTCGACTCTGAAAACTTCTCCTTTGGGTGCTGAGTTGAGGTTGGTCACCTCGTATACACGTCCTCGGCTTGTTGGATCGAGCCCATATAGATCAGGCACCGCAAAGGCTCTGAGAAGGGCGAACCAAGCCTCGAAAAGCAGCCTAGACTCCAACGATATATATACTGGGCGCAAAATTGACAGTTGAGTGGATGTAGGGGAGTAGATGGGAAAGATACCTATACAGTAGTTTTCGTTTAGCACTGTCTTGTCCAGCTGCTGTATAGCTGACCTGGACAGCTGAGACAATTCGATCATGGCCAGAAGCGAGACATCGTGCTCTGTCATGAGTTTGAGTTCGCCGTTGTCTGACAGTATGCAAGAAACACGTTTCCAGGCCATGTGCGGTATTTGCAAGTCTCGCGCAGAGGGACGTTTGACAATGGCCCGTGGGGAGGTGGCGAGGCCTTTGTCCCAGAGCATCACTCTGCCGACCTTGATGACGGTAGCCTCCCGTAGGCCGGAAGAGGAGGCCCGACGCTGCATCTCGCTCCTCAGCGGTGGCAGAGCAACGCTGCTCCCTGATCTTGTCATGGTGTTCTTGGTGCCGGAAGGCCGCAGCTGCTGCCAACACAGCAGGGCAGCCAGCCACAGATCATACTCTTCTACCGCTGAAGGGCACAAGATGATGCTGAGATTGAGATGTGGACTGGTGATCTCCAGCGACGGCCGGCCGCCTCTCTCCATCCGACTGAGCGGAAGTACACGACATCCACGAAGATCCGGTATCAAAAGGGAGATAGAAGAAGAAGAGCTACCCTCTCCCGAGTCGCTCACTAAGCTCCCCTTCTCCTCATCTATATAACATATACCACCATACCATAGGCCTCCCATGTCTTTCAGGTACTGAGCCTCTCCGCGCATCCTTCCGCACAGGTTTTTCATCAAGAGCAAGACATTGTTGGCATCCCGCGTAGGGACAGGCAACGGCAAGGAGTCAACTGACGGCTGAGGTGATGAGAAGGGAGAAGGTGGTTGGGAGGCGGCAGGTTTTTTGGTGAGCCGGGTCCTCGCCGTTGACAGTTTTCTCTCCTTGTGTCCAGCCGCAGCTGCCACGTGGTGAGTGTCTGACGACCCATACGAGTTGAAGTGCGGCTGGGGCAGAGGCCTCGAGTCATCTACGACAGCCACCGAGCCGGACGATGAGACTGAACCGATGCGGTGACGGTTCTCGGTCACAAGTTGCTGCCGGAAGGCACTGTCCAAAGTATGGGTCCTGGGGCGAAAATTCGACAAGGACGGCCGTGACGGTGGACTTGACGAGGCGCTGTCGAGAGAGCCGGCCAGACCCTCTCCAAACACCATGCCCTGGCGTCGCGTGGGGAGGCTGGACGGAGTTGCAGTGACGGGACCAGATGGGCTGCCAACCGGAATGGGTGCAGGCGCCGTCTTACTCATCACAGGGCCGGCAGCACCGGGCATAGACCGGGGCGAGGTTTCGGGAGAGATGGAGGGAAATGAGCCGGGCCGCTGTGGCAGGGCTGCGGAGTCCGCATTGCCGCTGGGTGCAGACATATCGAACGTAACCTCAGCCGGCTCCGGGGTGGCGGCTCTGACGGTGGCGGCAGGGCGGGCGGCGGGGCGGAAGTTATCATTACCGCTGCCGCTGCTGCTGCCGTTATCGGTGGAGGTGAATGTGGTTGTGGCTGTGGCTGTGAATGAAGGTGAAGGTGAGGGGGAGGGTGAGGGTGAGGGGGCGAGTGAGAAGGAGGAGAAGCTAGCTGGCATTTTGGCCAGAGCAAGCACAGGGGCGGACTCGACAGCAAAAGGGAGGGTCGTGGCCTTGACCGCGGCCTTGACCGTGATCGTGGCCGAGTCCTGCGCTGTGTTCTGAACCGAGCGGTCAGGTACCGAAAGCGGCGCGGTGACTCCGCCGTCTCGGGAGAATGCTGAAGCGTCCGCAAGGACAGGGACGGAGGTGCGATCATGGCTAGAGGTACGGTTGCGGTCACGGTCACTGGGGCCCTGTAGGCCGGGACTTGGTTGGCTCCCTACACTGTCACCACGACCGCTACCGCTGCCTCCAGCACTTCCCAGCACAACCGGGTGCCTCCCTTCCATTGCTGCCGCAACCGTGGTCCCACGAGCAAGTCCTGGCCGGGAGACTTGTGTACAATGCAGAAACGAAGGGGAATGCGACGTCGCAAACCATCTGGAAATAGGACAGCAGCGCCGGCCTCGTCTTGCTCCGCTGTTCAGGCTGGAGCCCCTCGAGGATGGGACTTGGAGACGTCGACAGCGACGTCGGCGGCGAGTATCGTATCGATGGACCGCAGATAGACACACCTCAGGGCCAGACGAATGCAGGTTGGCAATGCATCATACCAGGTATCCAATATGGCAGAGCCGCTCTCCTGCGTGGAATCTGACCTGAATCCTGCCCGCCTTGGACCCTTCCAGAGGTATTCTCGTCGGCCCAGGCGAGCCAGGGTACTGAAGCTTTTTTGGGGGGGTGGGAAGGGTGGGGTTTAGGGGCAGAGCAGGCCCGGGGACGGGGTTAGGCGGGTACATACTGGCAATACAGAACTAGTGTAGGGACGAGCCTAGCTGCCTACCCAGGTACGGCACTACGTCTCCACCCTTGGCAGCAGTGACGAGGTCCACCCCAGCAACGTCATGAATGACACCAAGTCCAAACTTGAGATGAGAATCTGGTGTTGATTGCATGGGCAATGGGGTCGGCAAATAGGGATTGTAGATATGGCAGCCGTACAACAAACCATAACATGCCTTTGGGCGGCATATAGTAGATACATGGAGATCGCTCGCTACCTCAGCAGCATAAACTTTGTTCACTGTGCACCAACTATGCACCATAACAGGCAACAGCGGGGGTACAGTGAGGGCGGGGAACCAAGAAACAAAATATAGGTAGTATTACCAACAGTCCCAACCGTTCCAACATGAGTCAACTTAGAATCCTTCTCCCGCCATGATGGTGCGACCACCTCCATACCATAGCGTGCCGTCCCGCACTTCAAGCCCCTTCTCCTGACCGACAATCCACTCCCCCATGAACTCGCCGTCGACAGCGTCCCACACTTGGGTCTCCAGCCATTCATTGATCTCTTTTATCGCCCGAATCCAGCTTTGCCGCGCCAGAGGTGTTGCGTGATCCTCTTGGTCGAGATATCGCCCGAGCGTGATATGAGCGCTAGGAACCACGTACCGCGACCTGACCTCAACCCCGGTCTTCTTCACTGCCTCGAACAGGTCTCTGCGGAGATGGTGGTACGTGTACCCATCATGCTCCTCGGCTGCCGGGACGAACGACACGGCAATGGCCGAGAGATCGTAGGATATCATGGGTCTCACCAACCGGACCCGATGCAGAAACGTCAGGTTCGTCAACAGCGGTATCGCCGGCCGTATCGACGACGCAAGGCTCGCAATCTCGTCCGAGGTCTGCGAGTGCGCCAGCTCAAGTGTCGTCATGTGCATACGGTGCGTAGGCATGAGCCATAAATCTAGGTCGCATCCCATCAGTCATTCCACGATACGCGCAGACCCGGGGCAAGCAGCAAGGGAGAGTGGCTGACGCACTAGGAGCCGCCTTCTGGAGAAGGGTTTGCAAATGGGAAGCCAGTTTCAAAATGTGCTCTGGTGGTCTTGCCCAGACGACAAGACAGTGTCGTGGGTCTCGGAATCCAGGCTGGACCGACGGTCTTTCGAGCCGAAATAATACAGGGTCGACAATCAGTTCCTTGAAGTCGGCTGACAAGAACTGCTGTTGTTGTTGGAGATTCCGTGTCAGTCGATGACTGGCATACAACGATTGTATCTCGGCCTGGACGTTGAGCGCGGAGTGGTGAGTAGAGCTTCAAACACCCGCAACTTTTCCCCCTTGGCATGGAGGGAGAGAGCATCAACCGAGGCACCTACGGGATGGTCATTGCAAATCTGTATGAGGGCATCATATGGGTTCTCTCCTGGCCTGATCTTGACACCAGAGAGGTGTTCGAGCTTGCTTATTGCATCGACTGATTCGATCACGGGCTTCATTGTGTGTTTGCTAGGACGAAAGGGGCCGAAGCAGATGACGAATGCAGCTTTTTTCCCAGCCGAGTGCCCAAACTGCACGGTGAGTAGGTGTGTAATGTTGAACATGTGCCAGCCCTTTTTTTTAGTGGTCGGTACTGAAAGGACAACATATGTCATAAACGGTCGATACAGTACTATTGGGCACTCCTTCCATAACCTATCTTCAGCTCTACAAACCCTTTTTAGTACACCAAGGTAGATTATTCGTAAATACTACAACACCAAGTACCATCCGCGAAACACCGAGACACTTGATTACTACCTCTACTTACTAATGCCCCACCAAGTCCATGCATTCAAACTCCCATTTATCTGTTTGTGCATAAGGCTGGTGGTGATTATCAGCCGCCACATAGGCCGTCCAACACCGAACTCCGGACAGCAGGTCAAGTCAAGCAAGCCATGCCACAACGATTGCACCGCCGCCGGCCTGCTAGTTGCATGTAAACATCAAGGCAATGGTATTCCCACACGGCAATGCGCTCTTTAATTACAGTTTACTCGCTCTCGACTGAGGTTGGAGGCGGACCGTGACAGTGGACGGACCAAACAAAACTTCTTGACAGTCTTCCACGGAGACCTCGTTGGCGAACTGGAAAACGAAGAAATCAATCGCCTTGTCAGCTGGGCCAAGGGCCACCATTGGGGAGTGCCACGTGCCTGCCCCGTAGGTTACAGCCTGGTTCGTAGTGGCGATGAAAGCACGGAGGCCCTTTAGGTCGGGTAGCCCTCGACCCGGCAACTCTCGATTAGCGATCGTGCCAGGAGGCCGCGAGGAGGGAACTGGCAGCTGTTGGTCTTGGGCACTCGGCGAGAGGCTTGGGGCGACAACGACCAAGTATCGACTTTGTGGATCGGCACGGAGTGGGACAAATGTTTGACTGGTAAACGGATGGCGCTCGAGGACGGTGACCGGGAAGATTTCCCGCTCGACCCCGACTTCGAGTCGCCGAGGGAGCGCCCGTGATGCACACGTAAACATGTTGGAAACGGCCACTCCGGTTCGGCCGCTCGGTGCCTGGTCGTAGAGGTTTTCTATCCGTGAAACGTGCTGGTACTTGATTGCCGTCCCCTGGTTGGCGACAATGGCATCGAAGGGCATGCCTGCCGTGTCGTTGGCCATGGCAGGGTGGAGGTTGGGTTGTGGATTTGCAACCGCATCACCAAATGGCTTAAACGCTTCCAGTTCAAGCGGTACCGCATCAACCACCATGTCCAGTCCGTTTAGTCTTATCTTGATGGGGGTAGCCATTGCTTAGTCGTGAACAGCCTGTACCCCTTTTTTGTTGTTGTGAAGACGTCGTCGTTTGACAGGAGAGATAGAGGCAAGGCGATCTGATTCCGTCTGAACAGCAAAGTCGTATAATATTCGAGTTGACTTTCCGCGCGGGCATATACTCTATCGTCGTTGCTAAAAGATAATGATTTTTGGTAAGGATTTGGTACTTGGCGCCCAGAACCCCCCAAGTAGAAGGGTGGTTGCTGGCATGCAAGGTTGATGCCGAGGTCTTGGCTTCTTGGCTTGGCCTGGTGGTTAATTTGTATGGCCCCACACAGCTGATTTATTCGGCTCGGTTATATACACTAGGGTGTACAGACAGCCCAAAAATGTCACGAAAGGTTTGGAAGTTTGGAAAACTTAAAGTGATAACGCGATCGATAACAGTCAACACTCCTTCGGTAAGGATCGAACTTACAGCCTCCAGATTAACAGTCTGACGCGCTAGCCAATTGCGCCACGAAGGATTTCCGATGACATGCATGTTTATCATTGCATCTAGGAATCCCCATATACATAATACTAGAGGTAATGTTCCCTTTCGACCAGCTACAAGTAAGTCCCTTCCAAGGAAAAGACAGACAAGGACAGGATCCAAAAAGTACACTGCTAACCGCAACTTGTAGGATAATCAAGATGCCCACGATACGCTGCGTTGAGCATCTAGCTCTGAAATTGCGCACTCGCATGCTACATGTCATCCTCGTTGTCACCCTCTAACCATATCTCATGTCCATCACCTTTCCACACTGAGAAGCTGGCCATCCGAGTAAAGCTACTGCGCTCAAACCCCACCATGCTGCACCAACAATATCCATATTTAGGCCAAGGCCATACAAGAAGCCACAAAGCATGGGTCCCAAGGTTCTGGCGAAACTGCTAACGCTCTGCCCGATGCCGTGTACCGTACCCAGCACACCGGGATGCGGAGTGCAGTTGTTGACTAGAATGGTCTGCGCTGGCAACACAAACGTACGTCCAGCGGCCTGAAGGGCGAGCACTCCGGCCATGGCCACCCAAACTGCAATGCCGTCCTTTGGGCTTGGCGGCGGCGAAGAGCTCGGCACCAAGCTTAGGTATGGCACTAGGAAGTAAGTAATGGGAAGAAACAGGAGGAAGAAGTGCCAGCTTCTGACCGTACCCAGCCGTGCAGAAAGGCACGGGTAAAGTCCGAACTGAGCTGAAGGCCGATTCCAATTACACCGAGAATAGCTATGGCCGTACCCACCTCAAGGGGTTGTAGGCCTGAGCCCCCGGTAAAGATGAATGGGGGATCCCGCACCAAAGCATTCGGAGAGGCTGCGGTTTTGGTTGGGTCGTACACGGGGGTGGTAAGGAAGACGAACCACAGCGAGTTGAAGGTACCCACGTGAAACGCAAGGAGGGAGTTTGCAACAAGTGTGAAGCTGACGTTTCGCGTAAAGATGCGTCGGAAGGGGAGCCGCTGAGTATATCGCCTCCGGACCTGATGATGCTTCCCAGCAGCACCGTACGTCGGCTTGACTGAGGACTTCCTTTCTTCGATTGCAGAACCAAGCTCCAGCTCGGCACTTGAGTCTGTGGATGCCAGTGGTGCACAGAACGCCTCCGTGTCACCGCGAGAAAAACATCTCCGAAGCTTCTGCCCCAGTTCCAGGCCTCTGTCCCGCACCATTGCACCCGAGTCTAGCGTCTGAGAGTCACAGAAGCGAAATTCCTGTCTTTTTCGAGTTTTGTTGTTTGGAGGGTGGAGGGTAACATGACCAGCATGAGATAAACTTGCCTCTTCCAAGAAAAGCCAGACTAAAATCATGGCGAAAAAGAGAAACACCGCCGACAGAATCTTTGGAGCAGCATATGGGCGGTGTGTAAAGAAGTTGATTTTGCCAAACCTGTCAGGATAGGTTCCCGCAGGGTCTGAAAGAAGACCGCCCAGTATAGGACCAACAATGATGCCAATGTTGAAAGTCATAGGAAGTAGCAGAAAGGCCCTGGACTGGTGTCTATCATACCCATTACATTGTTTAGGGTCGGTGGGGAAGAAGGACAAAGGTCCCGGGCTAAAGAGGTGAATTTACTTCTCCTCCTTGACGGTTTCACTAATCCTGTAAGCACGATATGTCAGCACAAGATTTGAGAGGTTAGCACGAATGGAAGTTCAATTACTCATCCAGGCCATACTTACATGGTTCTGAGAACGACTTTGTTCCCGTTCGTCATTCCACCCAAAGACCTAAAGAGAAGAGCTTCCCAGAACGAAGTAGAGAGGCCGAAGCCGACGCATAATAGCACTTTGAAATGATACCTTTAGCAGAAGCACGGAAAGAGTGACCAAAACTCTTGAATGATGAGAGCATCGGTTGAAGTAATTACCAGAAACGTACTTGTACCACCGACATCGATCAAAAGCACGATTTTGCGGCCACACCGAGGAGAGTCGGCAACTCACCCCCACAGCATAGCGGTAAGAGATTGGGCAGCTGTAAAACTGGCACTGATTTGGAATTGCAGGTCCGCAACGGCGACCGCTAACATGTCGCTACGGCGGCGATCCATGGCATATATGCTTAATACACCATTGGGAGACAGACTGACTGAAGAATGCCAGCCTGGCCGGCAATAGTCGAGTCAGGAAGGTCGGGCTTGAACCACTACAGCTGGTAGAACATATAGGACTTGATATAGCCAACAGTCAGCAATGGATGAGCCGCTCGCTGCATGACGGATTATGGAGAGCCTACCTGAAGAGAGGTCTGGATAAGCGGTTCACTCAACCTAGCGAGAGCGAGAGTGATGACGATAAGCTGGTCTTTCCGGGGTAGGTGACCCCAAGAGGCAGCCTTCGCACCGGTGAGGTGCCGCTGGGGTGCAGACTCAATAGTTGTCTCGGTAACCGTGTCCGTAGCCACGCCCGACATGGCGACGGGAGTGCATCGGGACCCATGCTCATGGTTCAGTGATGATTCATGGTGATCAAGGTTAGTGATCAAGGACAACCTCCCGGTCCCGGCCTCCGCCTCCTTCGCCTTAGCACCCGCATCCACAAGACAGGCACCAAAACAGGTGCGGCATCGCGGGATCCGGGGACATCCGGACATGGGGAACCGGAGCGGTTGACCCCACCTGGCCCCCCAACTCCTGGCCCATAAACCATCTGGACCGGGCGGGAAGATTACGGGAAGTAGCCACTGTGGAGAGTGCACGAGTCGGGTCCCGTTAGATCAGTCGGGTACTGTACGACGTAGGAAGAAAGTCAGGGACTTGCTGCGGGATCACAGATCGGGGTGCCAGAGTTGTTGTAGTATCGTTAAGACTGACTTATCGGTTAACGGCCAACCCGCGTCCAAGCCGAAGTACTGGGTAAGGTAGTCGCATGAGTTTGAGATGAACGGGGAGGAAGCTACCGGGTCCGCTTCACTCTTGAGCAGGCAAGCTGGAAGATTCAACGTGCAAAGAATGGCGAGACAAGTTGGCAGCCGATATGGTTGTGTAAATGTATAAACTTGAAAGGAATGGAAAACGCACATCACACGCCACCTCCTTCGAAACCTACGTGCCGCCACAGATTCGCTTGACCTACTTACTACAAGTACAGTAGCATCCGGGCACAGCGTGGCGTCACTTATAGTCACGGAAGAGAGATACCTAAGGCGTAGTCAACCTGAACGTCGAAGAAAGACTAACCTCTACTCGTCAGGTCTTCAAAACCGGTCTGGCTCGCCCGCTAGTCAGACGGTCGGTTTTGAAGACCTGACGAGTATAGGCGGTGGTGGTTCCAAACAACCGATAAGACAGCTATGCGGGCCATGTCAAAACACCATGCATACTGAGGAGGTCGAATGAAGTGACCGACTGTTCGGTTTGCGTCACCGGATGATCCATCATCTCCCCGCTTCCTCCAACCGATCAGTGACAGCATCGGTGCCGCAACGGCTTTCTTCTCCACTACACCACACTGGTGTACATAGTATGCATCTGCTTCGGGGCTTGGTCGATGCCCCTTTGGTGCCTATTGGTTAGAGGTAAGTACTATGTACTGCGTAGCGTACACATCACCCATGGAAAGTCCGTTAGCGCCGGATTCTGATATACTAGAGGTATTCATTGAAGCGTGCTTCAACTGTTCAGAGGTGGATAACATTCACTGTCTTAGAGGGGCTCATTCATGACCCGCATCCACCGAACGGACTGTTGAGGGACGGTTCGTCTACAGTTAGGTCTTCGTACAATAGTTTCTTGGCCTCTTATTGGTCAGATACGTGGCACGGCCCTACAATTGGTCAGGGCGTCTTGCCAAGCAATGCTCTAATTGGCTACTTCGCAAACAGTGTTTCTAATAGTCCGCGCTAGAATATACTGGGTCCTTCCGTTTCTGAAATCCTCTACCAAATCTCTCGATATCGTCTATCGATAAGGTTATTATCGTCCTCTTTACATCAATGAAGCAATGAAGTAATAAAGCAATGAAGTAATGAAGAGTAATTGGGCGAGGACGGCTATGGCCGTCCGAATAAGGAACGGTATAAGAGATGGAGATTCCCACGCTTCAACGAATACAGCGGGCGTTGCTTGAACTAGGGATCCAGCATCGCATCGGTGTCTGAAAACTATTTTAATTCAATCACCATTCTACCACATTTTATACAAGAAGCTAGTATCAACTAGATGCGTTCCGCAGGCTCTATACACCTTATTCGGTTTTCCGTTTTGAATGTGGTTCTCCTATCAACTTTTTATAGAGTTCTGCAGACCTCTCTCACAAAACCTGCGCTAAGTGAAACGTTCAAGAGTTGATGTGTATAGCAGTGCATAGCCTATTATTCTTTCTTTCAAAGACGTGCGCGCTTCACGGACCAAAGGGTTACCAGTAAGGCAAGGCATCTAATCAGCTGTAACTCTCAACACTGGTGCTTACCTAGACTGGCGAGTCTGCATGCAGGCACGTTCAGCCACGGACACCAGCGCAAGATAGTAGGGACTAACATTGTGTTATACACTATACTATAGTGCAGCATTCAAGGGCCGGAGGAACTTGACCCACCACTCGTCCCCCCAAGGCCAGCGCAACTGTGTACACTAGTTTGGCAGTCTCCTCGCTATTCGCGTCTTTGAAATTTGTCCGGGTTTGTGCCGCAGAGGACAAGGGGAAGGGGGTCCTCCCAAGTCCTGCTGTGCACTAGTCTTTATCACTTAACCTCCGTCGACAACGTTTCAGCGGACCCGCCCCACAAATATGTGGGTCTCCCCTCCTCGAACTTTTGTAAGAGGTTTGTTACGGTTTTGCGTAAAAACGCCGTCGGCTGTAGAAATTTCTATATAAACTTTAAATTTCAATTTTATATATTCCTTTATAGTAAAATAAAGAAAAATAGTAAAAATAAAAGTAATATACTTGGAAGACGGTCTTCTTGAGCTCCTTCTAAATATATAATTTTTATAAAGCTCGGACCACCCATTATAGTAATGCAGCCCCAAAGGTAAACTTTCGTCGGCTGTAGTTGCTTTAGAACCTTTGAATACTCCTTATTTTAAAGGTCAAAATAAATTGTGTAGTGAAAAAAAAATACGTTGAGGATGGCCTTAATAAGACGATTCTAATAGTACTATTTTTATAATATACGGACTACCCGTTAAGGTAATGCAATTTCGAGGGGGTAGTATTCTATTTTTCCACTTTTAAATTTCTCTTGATTTTAACTTTATTATAAATATAATGAGTAAAATACCTATATGGGGAGGATGGCCTTAATAAGGCGGTTCTAACGGTATTACCTTTATAAAGTTCGGATTACCCGTTAAGGTAATATAGTTTTGAGGGGGTAAAAGCTTTAAAGTTTAAAGCCTTGTATTTTAATGAATATTGATTGTATAAGAAAATTAAGACTAGTATTAGAATTGGACTAAAAGGCTCTATATACAAGGTATTTTTATTTATTTCTACTAACTCTATTCGATTTATAATATATAATAATACTTGGTTACTATTTTGTAGCCGACGACTAAAAAACCTAAAACCCGTTCAGACCTACTACCGTAAAAACGGGTAAGTAGGGTAGTTTTAGAAGTGTAAGTCTAATTGAGACTAGCTATATACTTCCCATCGCTTCCTTAGGTATATTATATATAGTACTGTCCTCTATTAATGTAATTTCCCCTTTTACAGTCACACACAACTGGATCCCTCAAATGTAAACTATTTCTACGGCCTAGAGTCCTAGTTTTGTATATTAGTAAGGTACCTCTTCGGGTAAGAACTCTCCCTAATACTAAATTCGAGCTGTCTTTTATAATGTTAAATGTACAGCGAGTATGTTTGTACATAATACATACACTACCTAATTCAATCCTCTATTATATATATAATCCAGCCCTTATAAGTTTATTAGCGTGTTACTTAATAGGAAATTTGTATTTTTTTTTAATATAGGCCTTTAACTAGTCAACTTATATTAACTAGATTATTGATCTTGAGGGTTATATTTTCAAAATAAACAGTTTTTAAAGACGCTATTATTATAGGGCTAGCGCCCTGGATTAAAATTCGGCTTTACCAAGTCTGCCAAAGCGGGATAGAACGTATTAATAAGGATACGAGCCTCCTAATTAGTCGGATCTACATATTTACTTAGCCTATACGCCCGACTATAAAACCTTCTTTCGACTGTACTCTTCTAATATAATCTTCTTTTATTCTCTTTATTAAATATAATATTTCAATTATTATACGACTATTCGCTATATAATACTCTAGTAAACCCATTATATTATATTTAACCCTCTTTTTAATTCCCGTTATTATCCTCTCGCAAGTACACCTAAAGAATTTTCTTCCCGTCGCCTTCGTACCTAAACAATTCTCCCTTATTTATAATACCCGTTCTCCCTTTCTTTATTACCTGGACCTCCGCCCCACTCGAATATAGTACTGACTTAAATCCCGTAATCCTAAGACCCTTAAAAATACATATATCAATCTAATACTATTTTTAAATTTATACTAAGCGAATTCATTACCCTTAAAACTATACTAGCTAATTAAAAACCAATCCTTCCTACCCTTAAGAAGTTCCTAGGGAATAAAAAGGATTTCGAAATATAGGTTTTAAGTATATAAATTAAACTCCATATAAATAGCTTCGCTATTAGCGATTTAAAAGTATGATTTTATTATTTATTCGCTTACTTATTGCCGGTTGTTAAGAAGCCGTTTATTATTTTTATTACTTCGCTTCAGTTTCCTTCAAGATTTATTAAGAAATTTAAACTTATATCTAGGGACTCTAACGTAGTTAGAAGAGTTAATTAAAAGTTTTACCGATTTTGTTGGAAGTTAAGTGAATTTAAAATAGTTTTCTTTATTTACTTTAAGGAAATATCTCATTGCGTTTATATTAATTTCTAATTAGAAATAATTAAAATTAATTAATTTACTATTATTTTAAATAATAATTAGAAATAATAGTTTTTTAAAAGAATTAACGTATTTGAGTAGTATTTATTATTGTTTAAATACTTTCGCCGTTTTAATAGAAATATTCTTTTATTTCGATATTATTATTAAGATATTCGGTTAATAACAATGACGTTAGTAATTCTATAAATACCTTTATTAATTATATTATTTTAATAAGAATGAAGGAGAGTAATAATATTTCTTAGAAGTAGAAGAATAAATAGAAAAAAGAGGGTAAGTATAGTAATTGTAGTAGTAGTTCGTACTAATCTAAGAAATACCTACGGATTTTAAAGATAAATATAGTCCGGTTGTAATCTAGTAGAGGCTTGAATAGTTATAGTAACAATATTGAAAAGGGAGAAGATTTAGATTAAATAGAATTATATTAATAGCAACCTTAATAATATTAGGGGTAAAGGAGTACTACTACGTTTAAAAGGCGGAACCTTTAGAAATTTACTAAGTATACTTCTATTAATTAGAGTAATAAAACTATTATATAGTACCCTTTACTATTTAATTATATAGGTGGTATTTACTATAATATATAATTATTAGAGGATAGTAAATATAATATTTTATAAATATAAGGATTATTAAATTACCTTTATAGCAATAAGGGTAAAATTCCTACTAATGGAA